CCTAAATATTCATCCCTTAGTTACAACACCTACCTTTAATTTTTTTAATAGCACCCTGTATATTTTTTATAGTTTGGATGTGTTTCATCGTCTATTCAACAGATTTATTAAAAATAAAATCGGTTTGTAAATAATCAAGAAATCAATTTATTTTTTATTTTTGTTAATTAAGTGTCCCAGACTAAATTATCCGGCTATTTTAAAGGGACAAAAACTGGTCTATTCCATTTGTAATACACTTTAATATAGCGAAGAAAACATCATCTCCTAAATATTCATCTCTTATTTACAACCCCTAACTTAAATTTTTTAATGGCACCCTGTACATTTTTTATAGTTTTGGATGTGGTCTTCTATCGTCTATTCAATCGATTTTTTAAAAATAAAATGGGTTTGTGAGGTATCAAGAAAATAACAGTTTATTTATTATTTTTGTTAAATTAATCAAAATAGCCTTTAAAAATAAAATAGAAAAGAAATATTATGCTTTATTATCACTGAAAATTTTACTATTTTAACTACGTAGTATAACTTCTTACTTCAACGGAACTCTACTCACTTCTAAAAAAGATATTTTACACAGATGGAAAGAATACTGTGGACGACTGATGATGGAGGAAAGCACAGACGCCCCATCACAACAAGAAGATGCCAGTTTTGCGACGGAACCTGACGTACTCAAAAGTGAAGTTGAAGCAGCAATTATGAGGCAAAAAAGTCAAAAAGCTGCCGGTCCAGATAACATACCTATTGAAATGATTTGGGCCCTAGATGACGTTGGAGTGGATATAATACATCAAATTTGTCAAAGAGTGTGGGAGACAGGTAAATGGCCTGAGGACTGGACACAATCACTATATATTCCCATACATAAAAAGGGAGCGAAAGATTTATGTAGCAACTATCGCACAATTGCTCTAATTGCGCATTGCAGTAAGATACTCTTACACATAATTCTCGAGAGGATAAAGCCCTTTTTACTACCTAACATTGCGGAGGAACAAGCAGGTTTCGTCCCAGGACGTGGTACTAGAGAACAAATTTTAAACGTACGGCAGATTGTAGAAAAATCCAGAGAATTCAACATCACAACATATTTGTGCTTCATAGATTATAGTAAAGCTTTCGATTTGGTCAACTGGAGTAAAATGTGGCAGGTTTTGTCTGAAATGGGAGTCCCTAATCATCTGATACTGCTAATTAAAAGCCTGTACAATAACAATTATGCCAGAGTTAGAATAAATGGGGAACTAACTGACAGTTTCAGGGTCACAAAGGGCGTGAGACAAGGCTGCATACTAAGCCCAATTTTATTTAACATCTATGGTGAATGGATAATGCGGAAAGCTACTGAGGACTGGAACGGTGGCATCACCATTGGCGGGAAGAAGATTTGCAACTTGAGATATGCAGATGATACTACTATCCTCGCTAGTTCTGAAACTGAATAGATTCACCTGCTACAACGGATAGAAGACGTAAGCTTAACGATGGGCCTTAAAATAAACAGGGATAAAACGAGAATCATGATAATTGACAGAGCTAACAACAATCAAAATCATCTGGTTAGGATAAACAATATCGCTGTTGTAGATAAATTTGTGTATCTAGGCTCATTAATAACCAACAAAGGAGGCTGTACTGAAGAAATAAAGCGCGGTCAGCAATCGCAAAAAGCGCTATGGCAAAATTAACAAAAATTTGGAAAAGCCATGAAATTACTACCGATACAAAAATGAGACTAGTAAGAAGTCTAGTTTTTCCAGTTTTTACTTATGCATCGGAATGCTGGACCCTTACTGAGAAAGACAAAAAGAACATAGATGTATTTGAGATGTACTGCTGGAGACGAATGCTGAGAATACCATGGGTGGCCCGAAGAACAAATGAATCCATACTGGTCCAGCTAAACATAAAGAAAAGACTAAGAACACAAATAACAGAACAGATAATAAGCTATTTTGGACATGTGCTTCGAAGAAATGGTCTTGAAAAACTTACCATCCAGGGAAAAGTAGAAGGCAAAAGAAGTAGAGGTAGATCTCCTACACGATACACGGACCATATTGTTGCTACCATTGGCGCTCCATTGTCAGAATGTGCTAGATTGGCAGAAGATAGAAAAACGTGGAGGAACATTGGAAAAATTACCTAACAGCTTCATGATATCACGATACCTGCATCAAGAAGAAGTATAACTTCTATAAGGTTAACGACTAAGAAGAAGAAGAAGAAGAAGTATAACTTCTTACGTGCGTACGAAGTACACACTTTTTATTTAAACATTATTTTTCATTTTTCAAAAGTTGGTCTTTGTAGGAGCATACGTTATCTTCCAGTGTGCAAAATTAAGTGAGCAAAAATTAACAAAAAAATCTTTTATAATAAAGTCACAACATTTGAAAAACTTTTGCGGTTATTTTACATCTTGGATATTACCCTTAATTCATGTTGCCATGATTTGATCTGTCAAATCAACAATTATTATTTTTGACGTTTGGTATTAGACCAGTAATAATTATTTTTGTTGTAATTGTATATTTTTAACATTTTAATATCCCTTATTTATTTTCGCCTGACGAGTATGTTGATATTATTTTGATTTATGGAGAATGCCTAAAAAATAGGAGAATTTCCCGACAATTATATCAAGAAAGGTTTCCAAATCGAAACATTCAAAGCGAAAAAACCTTTAAGAAGTTGGAACGCTCACTTAGACAGGGACAATTTCTTAATAATGAATAATATACTAGCATATGTTAATTTTAATCCCAAGGTGTCTGTTAGAACCCTCGCGAGTGAATGTGGCATTCCAAAAAGCTCTATGTATATAATTCTCAAAGCTTTTACGTACCATCCTTTTAAAGTGCACCTAGTTCAAGAATCACAGCCTGGTGATGACCAAAAAAGTCTTGAGTTTATTTCAAAAATGGTACTAAAAATCAGTAATGATCCTTTTTTTTATCAAAAATATTGTGGAGTGATGAGGCTAGATTTCTCAAAAATGGTGTTGTCAACCGTCACAATTCCAATTATTGGTCTGCCGTGAACCCACATTGGATGATGGAAACAAGATTTCAGAATATTTGGGGTATAAATGTGTAGTGCGGTTTATTTAATGGCCGTGTTATAGGTCCTTACTTTTTTAACGGCACTAACAGGTGTTCGATATTTAGACTTTTTAGAAAACATTCTACCCGATTTTCTAGAAGATGATCCTCTTCATGAGCGTCAAGAAATGTGGTGGCAACAAGACGGAGCTCCTCCACATAATGCGAGAATCATTAGGGACCACCTACAAAACCGTTTTGATAACCACTGGATAGCAAACAACTCTCCAGAAATTATGTGGGCCGCACGTTCATGTGATGTGTCACCTCTTGACTCTTTCTTTTGGGGAGCGATAAAAGATATTGTTTATCAATCAAAACCGCAAAATTTAGAGGAATTAAAAGAAAAATAAGACAAGCATGTCGCCAAATTACTCCCGAAGTGATTCGAGCCACATGTACCAGAAATCTTCTGGAACCATTCGAAATGTGTGTTGCAGCAGGTGGGTTACAATTCGAACATTTAATGTAAATAATATTAGTTAGTTAGTTTGTGTTTTGATTTATTTTTTCATGTAATTTTTATTGCATTTATTTTTATTGTTCCTTTAAGTTTTATTGTTCCTAAAATTGTATTTTATTTGTACGAGTAGTATGTTCAATTTGAAATTTATTTAAAGTTTGCAATAATTTTTTTTTGTTTTACTTTGATTCTTTTATTTTGTAATATTGACCATTTATCTAATTTCAGTGACAATATGATATTTTCTTGATACCTTACAAACCCATTTTATTAAAAAAAAATCGGTTAAATAGACGATGGAAGACCACATCCAAAACTTTAAAAAATTGTACAGGGTGCTATTAAGAAATTTAAGTTAGGGTTTGTAATATTTAGGGGATGATTTTTTCTTCGCTATATTAAAGCGTATTATAAATGAAATAGACCAGATTTTGTCCCTTTAAAAAATCTCTATTTTGTTAATAAATATAGCCTGGATAAATTAGTCTGGGACACTTAATTAACAAAAATAAAAAATTAATTGGTGTCTTAATTATTTGCAAACCGATTTTATTTTTAATAAATTTGTGGAATCGGCGATAGAAGAGCACATCCAAAACTATAAAAAAATATACAGGGTGTTATTAAAAAAATTAAAGTTAGGGGTTGTAACTAACGGATGAATATTTAGGGAAAGAAGTTTTTTTACGCCAAAAGTAAAATAGATCACTTTTTGTCCCATTCGAAAATCTCTATTCGTTTAAGAGATATAGCATTGGTAAATTAGTCTGGGACACCCTGTATGTGGTATATGTCTTATTTTGTATATTTTATGTTTTATTTTATGTTATGCGCATTAATTATTAATTTACAAATGAAGAGGTAATACACAGAATAAATAACGATCCGGAAGTTATCATGAATATAAAAAAGAGAAAACTTGAATACTTAGGCCACCTGATGAGAGGACAAAAGTACACATTCCTACAAAATATAACGCAAGGAAAAATCCATGGACGCAGAAATCCAGGCCGTAGAAGAATGTCCTGGATGAGAAATTTAAGAGAGTGGTTTGGCTGTATCACTAACGAATTATTCAAAACAGCAGTAAATAAAATTAGAATCGCCATAATGATATCCAATCTTCGATAGGAGAGGCACTTAAAGAAGAAGAAATGCGCATTAATGTATTTTCATCTTCTATTGTATTTTGTGTATATTATATATTATCTTTTTTACTTATACATATAATTGACTAGCTACAAACAAATGTAAAATTTGTAAACGTAGTTAAATAAATCTTGAAAATACTGTCAATGTCAATATATCTGAATTTCGTACGACATTAACATTCCATTTCGGTTAAAGTCAAGATTAATCAGTTAATGTCGAGATTAACCATTTTCGGTTTAACCGTAACATATAAAATACGTAATAAATGCCTAAATGCATATATTTATTAGTTTAATTTCTTTATGTAAAAATAAAATTTTATTTACAAAATTAATTTTACAAAAATTAAAGTTTAATTCGAATGCACTTTACATCCATAATCATTTACAATCGTGCATAAATACAAAAATGTTTAAATTTTATTAACCTAAATTAAGACGTAATTTAAAATCACAATTACAAATGCAGCCATCAAATACTTCGTGCCTGCAAATAAACCCACAGCTGATCCTTTCGTAGATGATTCAGGTGTTGAACCAGTTGAATCACTTGATGAATCTGTTGATGGTCCAGATGGTTGAGTAGTTTGATCAGCCGGGGAATCTGTGGATGAACCAGATGGTGGATTAGTTGGATTAGCAGGAGAACCTGTTGATGAACCAGATGGTTGAGTAGTTTGATCAGCCGGGGAATCTGTGGATGAACCAGAAGGTGGATTAGTTGTATTAGCGGGAGAATCTGTTGATGAACCAGATGGTGGATTAGTTGGATCAGGTGGAGAATCTGTTGATGAACCAGATGGTGGATTAGTTGGATCAGGTGGAGAATCTGTGGATGAACCAGATGGTGGATTAGTTGGATCAGGTGGAGAATCTGTTGATGAACCAGATGGTGGATTAGTTGGATCAGGTGGAGAATCTGTGGATGAACCAGATGGTGGATTAGTTGGATCAGGTGGAGAATCTGTTGATGAACCAGATGGTGGATTAGTTGGATCAGGTGGAGAATCTGTGGATGAACCAGATGGTGGATTAGTTGGATCAGGTGGAGAATCTGTTGATGAACCAGATGGTGGATTAGTTGGATCAGGTGGAGAATCTGTGGATGAACCAGATGGTGGATTAGTTGGATCAGGTGGAGAATCTGTGGATGAACCAGATGGTGGATTAGTTGGGTCAGGTGGAGAATCTGTTGATGAACCAGATGGTGGATTAGTTGGATCAGCTGGTGAATCTGTCGGCGCCGGTGGATTAGTTGGATCAGCTGGTGAATCTGTCGGCGACGGTGGATTAGTTGGATCAACTGGTGAATCTGTCGGCGACGGTGGATTAGTTGGATCAACTGGTGAATCTGTCGGCGACGGTGGATTAGTTGGATCAGCTGGTGAATCTGTCGGTGCCGGTGGATTAGTTGGATCAACTGGTGAATCTGTCGGCGACGGTGGATTAGTTGGATCAGCTGGTGAATCTGTCGGCGCCGGTGGATTAGTTGGATCAGCTGGTGAATCTGTCGGCGCCGGTGGATTAGTTGGATCAACTGGTGAATCTGTCGGCGACGGTGGATTAGTTGGATCAGCTGGTGAATCTGTCGGCGCCGGTGGATTAGTTGGATCAACTGGTGAATCTGTCGGCGACGGTGGATTAGTTGGATCAGCTGGTGAATCTGTCGGCGCCGGTGGATTAGTTGGATCAACTGGTGAATCTGTCGGCGACGGTGGATTAGTTGGATCAGCTGGTGAATCTGTCGGCGCCGGTGGATTAGTTGGATCAGCTGGTGAATCTGTCGGCGCCGGTGGATTAGTTGGATCAGCTGGTGAATCTGTCGGCGACGGTGGATTAGTTGGATCAGCTGGTGAATCTGTCGGCGCCGGTGGATTAGTTGGATCAGCTGGTGAATCTGTCGGCGCCGGTGGATTAGTTGGATCTGCTGGTGAGTCTGTCGGCGCCGGTGGATTAGTTGTATCAGCTGGTGAATCTGTCGGCGCCGGTGGATTAGTTGGATCAGCTGGTGAATCTGTCGGCGCCGGTGGATTAGTTGGATCAACTGGTGAATCTGTCGGCGACGGTGGATTAGTTGGATCAGCTGGTGAATCTGTCGGCGCCGGTGGATTAGTTGGATCAACTGGTGAATCTGTCGGCGACGGTGGATTAGTTGGATCAGCTGGTGAATCTGTCGGCGCCGGTGGATTAGTTGGATCAACTGGTGAATCTGTCGGCGACGGTGGATTAGTTGGATCAGCTGGTGAATCTGTCGGCGCCGGTGGATTAGTTGGATCAGCTGGTGAATCTGTCGGCGCCGGTGGATTAGTTGGATCAACTGGTGAATCTGTCGGCGACGGTGGATTAGTTGGATCAGCTGGTGAATCTGTCGGCGCCGGTGGATTAGTTGGATCAGCTGGTGAATCTGTCGGCGCCGGTGGATTAGTTGGATCAGCTGGTGAATCTGTCGGCGCCGGTGGATTAGTTGGATCAGCTGGTGAATCTGTCGGCGACGGTGGATTAGTTGGATCAGCTGGTGAATCTGTCGGCGCCGGTGGATTAGTTGGATCAGCTGGTGAATCTGTTGATGAACCAGATGGTGGATTAGTTGGATCAGCTGGTGAATCTGTCGGCGCCGGTGGATTAGTTGGATCAGCTGGTGAATCTGTTACTTTAGGAGTTGGTTGATCATCCTGATTAGAGTCATTTCCGGAATCGTATGCTAGTGCTAAAATAGTAAATAGTAAATTAAATATGCTATTAAATAAATAAATATAACAAACCGGACAAAAACAAAGAAGAAAAAAATTACATATTTGTGCCCAAAACGAGATTGGTTCAAGTATTTATAAATTATAAATTTGTAAAACATGTTTATTAGAAAATTGCTGTAAATAGAACAAAAATATTCATGGTATTTGTAAATTTCAATTTACAAAACTTATTAATGACTCATTTCAGTGTGATAAACCTATGTTCAAAATAAATACGACAGAACATCGCCAGAAAATAGCTAATAGTAATAATCAAAGCAAAGTCGCTATAAAATGTTCAATTCTGGGTTTCTATATTGGAATCTTAGTATATTGATTGAAATGGAATGTCAAATATCCCCATTAAAATGGAAAGGGAAGTGGGTATTCAATACAAAAGAATGTTTTGGATAAATCGCCAAATTTGAGATTGTCCTTATTAATAAACTATTGGTATATTAACAAATACTAACACCAGTATCTTCAGTGTCTGCGTGCCAGTCCGAGATAGTTAGTACGCTCAAGATTACTCAGCGCCGAACAAACTGGATGGACTAATGCTTTTTATATAACCGAAAGGCTTGTACTTAATCATCCCAATTAGGATTCTACAGACATCTTTAGTTCCCAACTCTGTCTGGGGGTTATCAGCGCGATGGCTAGGTGGATTGACTAGCTCAGAAGTCGCGTTCATACCCACAGTCGGTCCCAAGCCCGAATAAAAGAGGAGGGTTGATGAGCCAGGTTAGCATCCTACTTATTGTAAAAGAAAACAAGGCTCAAAGAACCGATATAAAGCCTCGGAACCAAACGGAACCTAAGATGACGAGTCACGCAAAGGAAAGGAAAACGAAGCCCACAATCAGATTAGCAACATGGAACATTACTTGTTTCAACAACAAAGACCACGAGATAATAGAAGAACTGATAAATAAAAACATAGACATTTTTGCAATCCAAGAAACCAAGAAGAAAGGTAAAGGCCAAAGAGAATATAACCAATATTTCCTAGCATACAGTGGAGTGAAGAAAGAAGAACGAGCACGAGCAGGCGTAGGAATACTTGTCCATAAAAAATTAAAGACAACATAAATAACTGCCGTTATATCTCTGGAAACATCACAATGGACGACCAACAATTGAATGTCATATCTATCTATAGCCCCGAGGACTGCAAACCTAAGAAGGAACGGGAGGCATTCTACGAACAATTGCAAACTATCCTCGATGAAATACCTTATGAAGAGCCCTTAATGCTTATGGGTGACTTTAATGCACGAATCGGAAATGAAGTAGTTCCAGGAGTAAAACAAAGATTTAATGAAAACAATGTCAACGCAAATGGAGAACTTATGGCTAATATATGTGCTTTTAACGAACTCAGAATCAATAATACATTTGTCGACCATAAGCTTCAGTATAAATATACATTTGAAAACTCCAGGGGGCATAAATCTATGATTGATTTTATAGTCACTAATAGAAAAATCCACCCAAAGCAAATTCTAGATATCCGAACTTTAAACTCAGCAACACAGGGAGTGAACTACTTTGCATTTTTTTTAGTTTTAAAAGCACACATTTTAACTTTTTTAGACTTTTATTTCAGTTTCTAATGATGGTTGAAAAAAAAGTAGTTGACATATGGTAACTTTTAGTTTTACAGTAGCATTTTAGGCTGGGTGACATTTATCCATTGATCACTGATTGAATGATAGTACTATTTTCATAGAAGAAACTTATAGTATAAAATAATTATGCCAAAATAAAAAAGAACGAGCAGAAATCTTAACTCCAAGGAAAAAAATACTTACTGCTGTTAATCCAAAAACTTGAAAGTATTAATAAAAATACACTTATCCTCTTCATTATTTTGTTTTGAATGAAACAGTTCTTAACGTTTTACAAGTTGAGTATGTTACTAAAATATTTGCGTTGCACTTTATAGCAAATAATATGTATTATCTACTTTATCACACTTAATAAACATAGAATGCTCGTTTGCCCCATATATATAGTTGTAACAACAAATTTCTTGAAACTTTATCCAATCTTTGATTAATCTTTTATCTCAGGTACCTCTGAGATGATTGTTGTGGATAAAATTAATCCTTTAAATCCACCAAACGTAAAATGTATATAAAAATTTAAATACAATAGTTAACAAAAGAAATATTTAGAATTATTTAAATTAAGTGGAGTCAGTGATTACTTGAATTTGTAGAATTTGACTTGATGGAGCATTCCGTAACGTTTCGTTGGTAGAGTAGGATTTTGTGTTGTTTGGGAGTCTCAGTCTCGTAATCTTCAATAATAGGTGTAATAATTGAGTTGTCTCTAAATAGCGACACATTTATATACAGCGAGTGATTCAAAAAGGTATGTCATAAATTAAATCACGTATAATAAATTTATGAATCCAACTTACCTTAGTACAAAAGTGTACACAGAAAAAGTTACAGCCCTTTGAAGTTACAAAATAAAAATTGTTTTTTGCATTATCTCCTAAATTACTTGACATTTTGTTATAAAAATTCTAAATTGTTCTAAAAGAATTTTTCATACAAAAAAAACAAAATCTAAGTGCACAGAAAAATTTAAGGGGGGATGTGCAGCTCTAAATCCCCCCAAAATTTTGAGTACGTTTAAATCAAATGAATTGTGTGGCATTATTAGTGTAAAACATTATGTTCAAAACTTTTTTGCCTCTTATCACTTTTTTGAAAAACTAGTTTTTTCCTTCTTCTTAAAGTGCCCTCTACTCAATGGAGGTTGGCTACTACAATTTTAAACTCTTCTCTATCTTCAGCTGTTCTTATTAGCTGTTCAAAATTTAGCCCTGTCCATTGTCGGATGTTTCTGAGCGACGATAGTCTTTTCCTTCCTAGGCCTCTCTTTCCCTCGATTTTTCCTTTCACTATAAGTTGGGCATATTGGTACTTATTATTTCTCATGTATTTCTCGTATGTGGCCTAGGTATGATGTTTTTCTAACTTTTACTGTGTTAAAAAGTTCTCTTTCCTTGCCTATTCTATGCAGCACTTCTTCGTTTGAGGTATGCGATGTCCACGAAATTTTGAGTATTCTCTGGTAGATCCACATTTCAAAGGCCTCCAATTTATTTACGGTTGATGTTTTAAGGGTCCACGTTTCAACTGCATATAGAAGAGTCGACCAGACGTAGCATTTTGATAAACGTAGTCGAATTTCAAGTTTTATTCGAGAATCACAAAGCAGTTTTTTTTATTTTTTCGAAAGATTTTCTGGCCTGTTCTATTCTCGATCTTATTTCTAGATCAGGATTTAGGCTGCTATCGATCCAACATCCCAGGTACTTAAATCTATTGACCTGTTCTAAAATGTGCCCATTTATTGTGCAAGGTTGAGGTACGTTTTGTTTTTTTTCGGATTGACATCACTTTGGATTTTCTAATGTTTATTTTCATACCAAATTGCTCACAGGTCGAGTTGGTCTTGTCGATGAGTCGTTGTAGACCTAAGTCGGAATCCGCAATTAACACTGTATCATCGGCGTATCTGATACTGTTGATATTTACGCCATTCACCTTGACTCCATCCTTGGAATCCACCAATGCTTCTTCAAATGGAAACTCGGAGTAAAGATTAAACAGCAGAGGCGACAGAACACATCCTTGTCTAACTCCCCTCCTAATTTCTACTTCTGCGGATGTGGAACCTTCGATCCTAACTCTGGCGTTTTGGTTCCAGTACAAGTTTTTTAAGAATTTGATGTCTTTCCCATCTAAACCGACTTCTTGCAAACGTTCTAGTAGTAGGTCGTGTCTAACTCTATCAAATGCTTTTTCGAAGTCTATAAAGCATATAAATATATCTTTCTGTTGGTCGTAGCATTTTTGGGCAAGAACTAGTAAACTGAACAGGGCTTCTCTCGTTCCCATGCCGGCTCTCAATCCAAACTGATCGTCTCCGATGATTGTTTCGCTCTTTCTATAGATACGATTATGTACGATTTTTAGTAGGACGTTTACTGCATGACTCATAAGGCTTATCAGACGGAACTCATTGCAGTGTTGTATGTTTGGCTTTTTTGGTAGTGGAATGAATATTGACTCCAGCCAATCTTGAGGTATTTTACCTGTATCATAAATGCGATTGAATAAAAGGACAAATATTTCGATATTTTCTTCGCTGATTAATTTTAACGTATTTTCCGTCTGGACCTGGGCTTTTATTTGTTTTGAGATGATTAGTTGCATTTATGATTTCAGATTTCAGAATTGCTGGCCCTTCGTTGTTATTTTCCAATCTTGGTTCTTCTCGTATGTCGTGAAAAAGAATTTTAATATAGTTTTCCCATTCTTTCAGTTTATCTTCCGTTGATTCTAGTAGTTTGCCATCCGTGTTCAGCATGGTGTGAAAAGTCTAATTGTGGCTTATTCCCAGTTAAATAGTAATTATATATATATATATATATATATATATATATATATATATATATACATAAGTAAGAAAAAAGAAGTACTTGTGACTCGTTTGGAAAAAATATAACACTGTTTTTGATGGGTAGGAGTCAATAAAAGGGGCTATTTGTTGACTATTTTTTACTCGAGCTTTCAATTGTGATTACAATTTTTATCAAGAGCTTCTAAAAAATACAAAATGTCTTACAAAGTTGAACTAGAAATAAAAAATTTTTTTGTTAACTCACCAAATAAAATTAGTTTTTTATATAAAACTACTGCTTACATAATAAATACAAAAAATATTAATAAAAAAATGTCTTATTCTAATAAATGTTTCTCTGTAAAAGTTTCTTAAGAAAAAAATTGAATTTATAAACAAAAATAGAATAGCTACAACCAGCCTAAAATGTCATAAATACTAACTTAAAAATTTTTATTTTTGACATATTGTCAAAAATAAAATATATAAAATAAAACATATTTGTTACTAAACAAAGAAGAATTTTTTAAACAAAATTTTATTTTTGACAATATGGCAAAAATAAAAATTTTTAAGTTAGTATTTATGACATTTTAGGCTGGTTGTAGCTATTCTATTTTTGTTTATAAATTCAATTTTTTTCTTAAGAAACTTTTACAGAGAAACATTTATTAGAATAAGACATTTTTTTATTAATATTTTTTGTATTTATTATGTAAGCAGTAGTTTTATATAAAAAACTAATTTTATTTGGTGAATTAACAAAAAAATTTTTTATTTCTAGTTCAACTTTGTAAGACATTTTGTATTTTTTAGAAGCTCTTGATAAAAATTGTAATCACAATTGAAAGCTCGAGTAAAAAATAGTCAACAAATAGCCCCTTTTATTGACTCCAACCCATCAAAAACAGTGTTATATATATACATATATATATATATATATATATATATATATATATATATATATATATATATATATATATATATATATATATAGTTGTGATTTTTGAGGATGCACTCAGTTTATTTGGCCCACAAGACAAAGAAAACTCTTTGACTTACTGTCAAGCTTTCGAATTTTATTTAATTCTTTTGCAAGACATCTATAAAAAGAAATATAAATTAACTAGTTAAAATTGTTAATTGTCTTACATACTAGTCGTGAGATTACAGTTGTTAATATTATTGTACTCTACAAAACAAACCATTATAAATATATTAAAAAATTTTTTATTAAAAATAACTATATTGTCACTATATATGTCATTGTCATGGTTTGATCAATGGACATATATGAATGAAAATACAGTTACTTTATGTGGAAAGCAAAACCAGTAACAATAGTTTTTATTATAATTTATTTAATTGTCTATAAAAAATATAAATTAATCCAGTCATCAGTTTGGCTTAAGCACATATGAATTTTTAATGTTAGGATGTCAATAGAAAATGAGATCTTGACGGTATTTATTGATATGTTAATATGTAACAATAAATGTTACTTAATTTGTCAATATCTGATCTTCTATTTACACATTTTTTATTTTTTGTATATGTGTCATTTCTAAAAATAACCGTTTCTGTTCATTTAGAACATTTAGTTTAGAACATTTTTTAACATAGTAGTTACGTTATTAAGTGTTCAAAATGTGCTCAAGTTGTGAGTTGACAGCACCCTAATCGATGGTAGAAGACGTCTACCACATTTCTCCAATTGTTCGAGATTCATTGATAATTCGTTGCCTTAGCTCTGCAAGACTTGCTGGTTAAGTTTTTTAAACTGAATTTTTCAAGTATCTCTAATAAAAATAATCTTTAGGATTGAAATCCGGTGAACGTGGAGGTCTTCCTCTCCGCCATTCGATTCTACCTTGTCTACCAATTTATCGTCCGGGAAATATCTCATCTAAATATCGCCGAACATTTACACCAACTATCTGACGTTAAATTTCTTTCGACAAAAAATGACCCAGTTGAATAAGTAACTACTATATCTGACCATACATTTAATTTTTGTGGTCTTTGAGTATGGTTTTCACGCATTCAGTCTTGAAATGCCCAGTTTTAAATGGCAACGGTTGTTTACATTTCTCTGTCTTATGGATCTACGTCAAACTCAACTTTTACAGTAGATGAGGAAAAAGTTGTTTTTCGATATTTTGGCTGCATTTTGAGTGATATTTGTAAAAAGTGAAATAAAATAAATTAAATATTTACATCCCGATCTCTCATTTCATTTGTAAGTACATACAATTTACATTATTTAAGATAAGGAAATGAGGAAGCGTGTTTGTTTACATTTTAATAGGCGTACCATTGGGTTTATTCATGTTCATTAATGTATTGAATAAGATATGAGTTCATGAAATTAGTAGACATTTACAAATTGTAAGTAGACATCATCTGATTAAAAAAGATCTGTTTAGTACCTTTTTAATTTAATATTTCTTATGGATACAAATAAATTAGTGAAATAAATAAAACTCATTTATTTTTCTATGTAGGTTTTCAAATAATATTGACGATCGAACTATTTGGGTAGCAAATTAAGGAGAAAACATTT